ACTATACTTTGTTACAGTTCAGTGTGAGCGAAGGGTACTCAAAAACCACTTGCTTTTTTCAAATACTTTTTAAAGAAATTTGTAAACAGGTTTCTTACTATCTGAAGCAACATTTTGGTAAACAGAATTTTTAAGGCATCATAAATTGTTTAAATTGAATTTCTTTGAAAACAGCAACCAATATTTTTCAACTTTTGAAAACAAAGTTTTTGTTTGAAAGAGCTAATTTAAAACCAGCTTTCATTCAAAAAAATTCCCGCACGTTGTAGAGGCCTTTTATAAAGAAGGCCTTGAATGCACTATATCAATTGTAGAAAGAACTTTTATTAGTTTCAATAGTTCTAAATAGTATCTTACTAATAATATTTGTAAAAGTATTTTCAAAGGTTTTTAATGACACTTTAAAAAGGATGTAAATACATAATAGTGTTTCAAGAAGTTTTAAATGATAATTTTTGAGGAATTTAAATGTGTTTACATTTATCAAAAATTTAGCTTTTAATGTCAAATTTTTTATCACAGAACTCTTGAATATAAATATACGAGAAAATTTTTTAAAAAAGAGTTTAATTAGGGAACAAAAAGTTGACCATTTGTGGTGATCGGACTTCTGCGGTGATGGTCTGAAAACTGAAAACGGTTAACTGACAATCAATGCACACCTTTAATTTACAAATTTACAAAATTGACAATCACTGCACACCTTTAATCTAAATTTATTATTTTGTTTAATCTAACACACACACATATATACATATATATATATATATATATATATATATATATATATATATATATATATATATATATATATATATATATATTTATATATATATATATATATATATGTATATATATAATTATATATATATATATATATATATATATATATATATATATATATATATACATATATATATATATAATTATAATTTTCAGATTTTAATATCAAATATTCATGTGCGTTATGAAGATAAGGTATATTTATTTTAAAGGATAAAATAATTTGTAGCTTATTTTATTTCACATATTTAACTTACATATTGTTTAATAATTTGTATATATATAATTAATGTTGCAAATAGTATATATATATATTAGGGTCGTCCTTAATTTTCAAAGAATGATTTTTGTATGGGGCACCCCTGAATTTTGTTTATAAGCATTCATACAAAATTCACAAAAAAACTAAATCTGAAAATATTTAGAGGTCCCTACCACATATACTAGTTAAGTATCATTTGGGGTTCCGTGTCTGCATTTCACAAGTTGTTATGCCGGTGAACTCTTTCACTATACACACCATACTGCCTGCATATTTTATCAGTTTGATGTTACTTATTTATTGTTAGGTTTCCCAGAATGCATTTCACCAGCTGTCAGCCATTTTTAATCAGACATTAACGGACAATCACACAATTTAAAAATAATATTTCATTAATCTGAATTAGTGCCTAGTATTAACTACTGACTTTCTCAGGGAAAGTTCCATAACAACGGACCTCGTGGATACTGGAACAAAAGTAAGTGTTTTCTTTGTTTATTTTTGCTTGAATGGGTTTTGCATTGTTTGCATTATTGCATAACATAAACATTGTCAGTTGGATTACTGGGTTCTGTTAGTTTTGGTAAAAATTATAATTAATTTGTATAATTAAATTGGATGGTAACAAGTACAATTTATCATTTTGAAGGAGATGGCCAATGCTTACCCTGGGACTTTTAAACCAACTACAAGACAAGAAACTGAGTTGTGGCTGATAGGTCAAATGTCTGAAATTCTCAGCTTTACAAAGTTACCGTCAAAGAAGGAAGTCATGGCACTATTCTTCTATTACAAAGAGGCCACCAAACAGACTGTTCGTGAAGCATCACATTCAACAACTAATGACATTATTGAAGTATGGGCTAAAGCTCGAATCCCAACACAATTGAAGAAACATGTTGTTTAAAAAGTTGAATGTATGTTCCATGAATATGACAAACTGAAGAAAAATAAGGAAAATAAAGCAAAGCGCTCTGAAAGTCTACTGAAGAAGGCAGAAGAATGGAAGGATGGCTTAGAGAGTCTTTTTGCCATTGCTCATGCGAATGCAAAGAAGATGATTAGCATTCAGGAGGACAGGGAGTCCTGTTAGCTCAGCGTGAGGTGGGACGACGTGGTAAGATGGGAAGTGTTGACAAAGCCTTGGCCAAAAGAGAAAGAGATGTTCACAACAAAGAAGAAAATTTCAAGAGAAGAAAGGAGAGAGAAGAACAGGACAGAGTGGCCACAGAGGAGAAAGCTATTCTTCAGACATCCGAAAGCGAACAAGAATCTGGTAATGATGATGAAGCATTTGGTGAGCCATCATCCATCACAACTTTAAAGAGAGCTAAACGTATACATGGTACACAAAAAATACTGAATGACAAGTTAGCAGTATGTCTGGATATGGCAAAGGTCAGTGATAGAAATGCTGCACTAGTCCTGACTCCAGCACTGCAGCACCTTTGTTATGACCCAGCAGATTTTAATATCAATCGATCGTCCATTCGAAGAGAAAGGATGAAATCTAGACAAAGAATAGCAGAGAACTTGAAAGCAGAATTCAAGCCAACAGTTTCACTAACAATACACTGGGATGGGAAATTATTGGAAGATATCAGTAGCACAGAAATTGTGGACTGGCTCCCAATCCTCGTGTCTGGACTAGGAGTTGAGCAACTTCTTTGTGTACCAAAGCTGCCATCTGGAACTTGAGAAGCTTCAGCGACAGCTGTTTATGATGCAACTGTAGTGTGGGGCATAACTGATAAAGTCAAGTGCGTGTGCTTTGATACTACTGCCGTTAATAGTGGTCCAAGAAATGGTGCTTGCATCCTACTGGAGCAGAAGCTTGACAAAAATTTGCACTGGTTTGCTTGTCACCATCACATTTTAGAAATAGTCTTAGAAGCAACGGTTACTCTTTCTCTTGGCCCTTCAAAGGGTCCAGACATCATGATTTTTAAAAGATTCAAAAGCAGTTGGGAATTTATTGACCAGTCAAAATTTCAGACATCAAGTTCGAATGACACCGTTTCCAGTGCCATTTCCAGTGTTGCAATTGAAATTATTGCATTTGCTGATAACCAACTGCAACAGTTTCTGCCTCGTGACGATTATCGTCAACTGCTAGAGCTGACAATTATGTTTCTGGGAGGCATTCCATCTCGAGGATGCTCATTCAAAGCACCGGCAGGACTTCATTGAGCCAGATGGATGGCCAAAGCTATTTATTCATTGAAAATATGGATGCTGAGAAGCCAATTCAAGATGACAAAAAAAGAAGAGAATGGAATAGCAGACGTGTGTCTTTTCACAGTGACTCTGTATGTAAAGGCCTGGTTTAGAGCACCGTCGGCACCATCTTCACCTCGTGTTGATCTTGAGCTCATCAAGGAGATTGACAAATACAAGGCACAGAATCGAGCAGTCTCTGAGATCGCAATGAAAAAATTTTTAGGACATTTGTGGTACTTGTCAGAAGAACTGATTGCACTGGCTTTCTTTGACGATGAAGTCTCCGATGACACAAAATGTCTGATGGTCAGTGCCTTGCAAGCACCAGGTGCAGAACACACTTTGAAGAGGATAACTGTTGATCCTTTGCTGGTGAGCTCCAAGAACTTGCAAGACTTTGTCACCGAGAGCAGTCATAGATTCTTCACCATCACTGGTCTACCCTCAACTTTCCTCAACAAAGATGTGAAGCTCTGGTCTGCCGATGCTGATTATTAGTTGGCGAAGAACATTGTCAGCAGTATGAGAGTTGTGAATGACATTGCAGAACGTGGAGTTGCCTTAATGGGCAAATATAACAAGTTGCACACAAACGATGAGGAGCAGAAACAGTTCCTTCTCTTAATTGTAAAGAAGTACCGCCAGCGATTTCCTGATCGATCGAAGATTACCCTAGCAATGGACTAACTAGACGGTTTTTCTCACTTCGACAGTCTCAACGTAGAAGGACAATAATAATTACAATATATAACAGTTTTTTAACGTGCTTTAATAAAGCAATGCTATTCTCTGTGACAGTTTAAATTTGTCCTGATCATTCATATTGTGCTGAGCAAATAAGCCTCCGGCGGGCACTTTTATTGATACAAACTTTGTGGTAGGGACCCCTAAATTATGTTTTATTCAAATAAAATTTTCAGTACAATCATTTTTTCTTAATAGTCGACCATTTGAGAGGGTGCCCCATCAGAAAACTGAAAAAAATTTTTTTTTTTATAAACAAGGACCACCCTAATATATATATATATATATATATATATATATATATATATATATATATATATATATATATATATATATATATATATATATATATATATATATATATATATACACACACACAAATGCAATAGATCTCAATTTCCTTTAACACTTTTCATAAGCAACTGTGAAAAATTCAAATAAGTTTCTTTTAGTTTTAATTTGCTGCCATTAATCAATATTTTCTCTTTGAAGCTTGCCAACTTTCCTTGTAAGCCATTAAACCAAATGTCAAAACAATTCTCAATGGGGTGTGCTTGATTGGATTTCTTATCAACATAATTGTTTGTCCATCCAATTAATTTTCTTTAGTAAGAGTCTTTAGAGTAATGAAAACTTGCTAAATCTTGCTAAATCAATGATACTTGTGAATGAATGGAAGCTGCAGCCTTATATATAATTGGCCTAGACATACCTCTGTTAGATATGGCTATGCACATTATAAACTTAATCCCAATAAAGCAAACATTTTCTAGGCATGTTTTTTTGATGTCTAAGTAGTATCCAATATTTCCTTGCACCTGTAATTTGTCAAGCTAGGTGTATGATTATCATGATATTCCTGCTAGGGTGATCATGATAGTCATACACCTGCTTAGGTGATAATGATGTAACTTGTTCCATGTCCTGATGCCTTGTAGGATTCACTTTCTAAGCAAAGGCTAGAAGAAGTCTGCTTTTTATGTGTGTCTATTTTTGTCTGTTATATAGTTGGAAGTGTTTTAGTTACTATGTTAGCTCACCCGTAATTTACTATATATGAATGTTTTGTTTACTTTTATTTGTAATGTTTTTCCTAGTGCATTTTCAAAATCTCCCAATCAATGTTTTAAAATACTTCTTACAGAAGTAACTTTTTTAAAATTACTCCAGGTCAGTTCAGAGCAGGTTCATGATCATTTGATCAATCTGCTACTGGTAACATGTAATACAGTACTACCTGCCCTTTGTCCTGCTGTCTTGTAGGATTTGCTTTTCTATTTTTCTACTTTGAATCTGCTACTGTCTTTTAGGCAAAGAATTTAGGAATAAGCAAAATAATTTTGTTGAATCACAGCTCTTCTTCATCTATTAGACTGGTGTAGACATTAACCTGTTTTAGATTGTTTTCTGCCTAGGAACAACTATGCAACTCTTTCTGTTATTTCCTAATAAAGGTACTGCTCTATGACTTAGTTTAATGGTTCTGAATCCTGTTGGTAGTAAGGTTTCTAATCTTTGTGGTAGTTCTCAGAGAGGCTAATACCATCAACAGCTGTAAAATACCAGAGTATTGACAGTGCAATAGTGTGCATGAATCCTGTGTTAGTAATTATAGTGTGCATTTTCAAGGCAATATAAGGAGCTCTAAGTAACAACTTTGGGTTGATAAGTAGGACTGAGACAATGGATAATAAGTGGTATATTGAAAAACATGAGATAATATGAAATAGAAACACAAAAAACCATCATCACCAAGTTCTCTAAGTCTATCATTACTAATATTCGTAGAATTTGAAGTAACTTTTCTTCTGTTGAGTTTTATCTCTTGCAAAGTTCACCAGACCTACTTGCTTTTTGTGGACTAATTTGAGATCTACTGTTTTATCTTACGATCTAAGTGTTGACAGTTATCTTCCTTTAATTTGTAAAGACTCCAATAGTCACATGCTCAGCTTAAGCATTTACATTCGTAAGAATTAACTGATTTGTCAGGAAACCAGGTTTGAATCCATAGACTATTGTTTTATGCGCTTTTGTTTAGAACCACTTCATTCTATTGCCTTTTTCTTTGTTCTATACTGCTCTCCTTCATTTCAAGACTGCACTCTTTTCGATATTATTTCTGATCAAATTGAACAAGCTCTTTATCCTTCAGCCAATATTGTTGTTATTTGTAAATTTAATGTTCTTCACACTGAATGGCTTGGCTCTAGTTTCAGTGACTCTGCAGGTGTTAAGACCCACAACTTTTGTCTTTTTTCGATCTCTAACACAAATAGTCAACTTTCCAACTCACTTTCCAGACAATCTGAATCATTTACCTTCTCTACACAACTTATGTCTTGTTTTTGATCCTTCTCAGTGCTCAGCTTCTCCACATTTAACCTCGGGTGCTTCTGATCATAGTTTGATCTCTTCATCATTAGAATCTCCTATCATCTCTTACAACTACCTTAAAGCTGACTGGGACTCTTTCCTGGATTTTCTTCAAGATGGCCCTTGGGTAAAAATCTTTTGTCTTCTTGCTGATAAATGTGCTTCTTATGAAACTTCTTTGATTCAGGCTGGCATGGAATCTTTTATTCCCTCTTGACGATTCCAAGTCAAGCCTCGCTCTTCTCCTTGGTTTTCCTCTCATTGTTATGCTGTAATTTCCAATTGAAACCATTATTTCCGTATCTATCAGCAAAACAATTCTCTAGAAAACAAATGTTTGTTTACTATTTCTAGAAATCATTGTAAAAAGTTTTGTCTAACGCCAAAGCCTGCTATTCTCAGATCACAAAATTTTGTGTTTTATCTCAAAAATTATGCTCTCGCAACTTCTAGAGAATCTTCGACAGTATCTATGATAAGGGCAAGTCTGTTATTCCACCTCTCTTGTATGGTTCAGATTGTGTCACCTCGCCTAAAGACAAAGCTAAATTTTTTACTAAGAACTTATCAATATCATCTCTTGATTCCACTAGTCGCGTTCTACCTGATATAGCCAGCAAACAAGTTAATCCATTGCCTGACTTTGGCAATGGATTAACTTGTCATTCCAGCTTCTGTATCCAAAGTAATTTCCTGCTAAGACTTTTACAGCTTGTGGTCCAGACAATATACCTGTTATAATCTTGCAGAAGTGTTCTCCGGAGCTGTTGTCTGTACTTATGCTTATTGTACTCTTGTTTTTCAGCCTGCTGGAAAGTGGTATCTATTATTCCTATTTACAAAAATTCTGGGGAACGATCTAACTACCATTAGTTTACATTAACGATTTCTAGAAATTTTGATGATTTCAGTGGGTGGTGAACTTTAACTAAGATAAAAATCAATTTTTTTCAGCTAATTGTTATTGCTACAATATAGATCTTTCTATATTTATGAACGGTTATCTACTTGATGAGTCATTTACCATTCATCTTCTAGAATTACCTCTTACTTCCAATCTTTCTTGGAAACCATATAATTTTTTTTTTTGAATTTTTTACATTTATTAAAGTTTCATGCTATATTTTTCTATACAATGTTTTTATCCGCAAATATTGTTGGCATTCTAAACATTGTTGGACCTGTTCTTGCAATCATCATAATGTTGCTTTTCTTTAGAGCAGCACCCATTATAGCATTTATAAAAAAGAGAAAGAAAAGCAACATTATGACAATGTGACCATTGTTGAAGGTTGGCTGCAAGAACAGGTCCACTAAGTTTACAATGCGTTTTTGCACCTTGTCTATAAGGGAAAGGGCATTATTCAAAAATCTGCTCCAGATTTGGCAACAGTATTCCACACAAGGATGGATTGGAGATTAATAAAGATAAAGAATAGATCCCTGAGTAAGAAAGTAGCATGGACAGTTAAAATATTTGCAATGGACTTTGATATATGGTGAGAAGTTACTTAAGTAGCACATTTGTCAGCAGAAAGACAAAAGACTTCTACCCAAGGGCCATCTTGAAAAAAATCAGTGCAACAATCCCAGTCAGTTTTAAGGTAGTTGTAAGAGGTATGATGATGGTTGGATTCTGATGATGAAACTGGAAACAATGTATTATAAATACATCTATGCTATCTACGACATACATCAAAGTTTGGCATGCTGGTCTTCTCCATAAGCTTACTTTGTATGGTGTATATGAGAAAATATTTGAGAATATTAAATCATTCTAACTGCAGTATAAAAGTCATTTCAAAGGCCAACACTCTTCTTTATTTCAAAGGCCAACACTCTTCTTTATTTCAAAGGCCAACACTCTTCTTTAATTCAAAGGCCAACACTCTTCTATATTTCAAAGGCCAACACTCTTCTTTATTTCAAAGGCCAACACTCTTCTATATTTCAAAGGCCAACGCTCTTCTTTATTTTAAAGGCCAACACTCTTCTTTATTTCAAAGGCTAACACTCTTCTTTATTTCAAAGGCCAACACTCTTCTTTAATTCAAAGGCCAACACTCTTCTTTTTTTCAAAGGCCAACACTCTTCTTTATTTCAAAGGCCAACGCTCTTCTTTATTTCAAAGGCCAACACTCTTCTTTATTTCAAAGGCCAACACTCTTCTTTATTTCAAAGGCCAACACTCTTCTTTATTTCAAAGGCCATCATTTTTTTTTATTTCAAAGGCCAACACTCTTCTTTATTTCAAAGTATATATATGTATATATATATATATATATATATATATATATATATATATATATATATATATATATATATATATATATATATATATATATATATATACATATATGTATATATATATATATATATATACATATATGTATATATATATATATATACATACATATATATATATATATATATATACATACATATATATATATATATACATATATATATATATATATATATATATATATATATATATATATATATATATATATATATATATATATATATATATATATATATATATATATATATATATATATATATATATATATATATATACAGTATTGTGAAAAAGTTAAGAACCACTAAATAAATAAAAAAAATTTTTTCAAGTAAAATTAATTAATTTTTATTCTAAAGATAATAAAATAGTCTTTTTTTTCAAACATATTAAATAGAACATGAGAAAAAAAAATTTTTTTTTTTGAAAATTAATTAATAGAACCTATAAAATTAAGAATTAAATATTATGTATTAAATTTTTTCAAATTTTTTTTTGTGATCGTTATATTATTTTGAAAAAATAATATAACGATCACATAGTTCAAAGCTAACAATCATCAAAAGATTCAGAGAGACGAAATCTTACGTTGATCGCCATCGTTCTGGAAGACCGCGTTTGACAACACCCAGTGATGATTGCCTTTTAATCAGGTAGGCAAAGAAAAATCAAACCATGCCGTCGCATGAATTAAGAAGGGAATGGAAGTTTTCAAATGGACGTCAAGCATCGGCATCACTTGTGTGTAGGAAACTAATAGCTAACAATATACTATGGAAAAAAGCTGTTCTAAAACTGTGACTTACCAAACAACATAAAAAAGCAAAAAGAATTTTGCCAAAATGTCAAAGAATGGTCTAAAGAAAAATGAAGGACAGTAATGTTTAGTGATGAGATGAATTTCGAGGTTGATAACAAAAAAAACTGAATTATGATTTGCAGACAACCTTCAGAAAAATATAATCTTGATTGTATAGTTCAAAGAACAAAACAATGTAGCGGGTTGGTTTGAATATGGTGCTGCATGACATTATGGTTTCGGTATGTTTAAACTATTATATGATCGACTCAACTCTATTTATTACGTTGATATTTTAAATAACAACTTGTTATAATCAGTTTGTTATTTAATTTTCGCTTGAGCAAAGCGTTCTGTTCGTTTTTCAGCTAGACAATGCACCATGTCACAGGGCTAAAATTGTCTCTGAATGGTTCAAAAGTAAAAATATTGAGCGTCTAACTTGGCAAGCAAATAGCCCAGATCTAAATTGCATTGAAAATCTTTGGAGTTGGCTTGATGAAGAGATTGCCAAGAAAGCACCTAGGTGCCTTGAGGAGTTGCACAATATTTTACCAGCAATACTTGGAAATATTCCCAAACATATTTTAGAGAATTTATTAGACTCAATCCAAATCGTATAAATGAGTGCTTAAAAATTCATGGTAGAATTATGCAGTATTTGGTAAAAATTACCACTTTTTGTTCTGTGGTTCTTAACTTTTTCACAATTTTTTTTTAAATAAAAATTAGCTACAAATATATATTTTTATTTGTTTAAAAGTCTTTGGCATTATTATTATTTTTATTTTGTTTGTCTATTTTCTAAAATGTATTATTATTATTTTTTTTACCTAAATAATAATTTAAAAATAAAAATAAATTATGATTTGTTTTTTGTGGTTCTTAAAATTTTTACATAACTTTATATATATTATTTGTTAAAGTTTAAAGAAATTATAAAAGCCATGTTTTTAAAGTGGTATTCAAAATTGTTAATGCTAATTTTCTTCATTGTTAAAATAATTATATTTATCCTTATCACAAAAAAATTGATTTCTAATTTAAAATGCATTTTTTCTGAAAGCTGTTGCACCTCATGATTTATTTTTTTTCTTTTTCTTTTTTAAGACATCTAACCCTCTGTCACCATTTGCTTTTGGTGTTACTTTGAATGAACTATCAGTACAGGTAATTAAACTAAAATAAAGACTTTTAAATACTTTTGTAAAAATAAAGTATCAAAATATTTATTATGCAAAATGTTTACTCCTTTCAATACTGATTTTAGTTAGTTGAACTGGTGTCATATTTAAGCAAGAGCTAAACTTTACAAAAAATTATTAACTTCATTATTTTAATTACAAATGTCATTTTTTATGCAGTGAAAACTAAAAAAAAATTTTTTTTATAAAATGATAATTATTTTTGAATTTTTAATATAATTTCGCTTCTTTTGAGACCCAACTTGATATACTTTTAAAGAACTATTTTTATGATAATTATAGGAAAACGTCTGATGTTTCGACACTATTCAATTCAATGATTAGTGTCGAAAACAAAAAAAAAGGAATAATGTTGCAAATAATAAAAGAAATAATGTCGCAAACAGTAAAATCAGAATAGTGTCGAAAACATGTAAAATGAGTAGCATCGCAAATAGTAAAAAAGGAATAGTGTTGCAAATAGTAAAAACAGAATAGTTGCAAAAAGCAATTTTATTTGAAAATCAAAGATATTACCTTAAATTCATTTGGTACACTATTCTGTTTTTTTGTTCTCGACACTATTCCTTAAACTCATTTGTGACATTATTCCTTTTTCTATTTTACTGTTTTTTGTTTTTGACACTATTGCTTAAATTCATTTGCAACACTATTCCGTTTTTTTGTTTTCGACACTATTCATTCAACTCCTTTGTGACATTCCTTTTTCTATTTTCTATTTTTTTCTATATTAAGGATGTGACTTTTTGGTACCTTGAGTTTCCAATATAAAAAACAGATGAACTTTGGTTTGAAAGTAACTGAAAAGTCTTCAGTCTTATTTAATTTGTGAAAAAGGTCATTCACAATGACCCTTGATTGCACACTGGCTCCCATATGTCAGTGAATTTTTTTTCTTTAAAAGTATATAAACCTGGGTCTCAAAAGAACCAGAATTTCATAGAGATTTCAGAAATAATAATGGTTTTCAAATAAAAATGAATTGCTTAAATTTTATATCCAAAAAACATTAAATTTTAACTAAAAATTAAAAAAGGTTGTTTTTTATGACATATATGTATACACACACACTCTTAATCCGAATGGTCCTTCAAAGAACCTTTAAGGTTGTTCGCGTTGACGCTGATGAAGCACCCGTAGAGGCTCTTCAAAGAACCAATTGAAAGGGTTCTTTGGAAGAACCTTAAAATAAGGTACTTTAAAGAACCCGTTATAGTTTTTCATCGAACCTTTCATTGTTTTTGCATTATTGTTAACGTTGCATGGATACTTTTTTGAATTCTTGAACATTTTTTATTATCAAATATTTATATAATATATAATTATGTAATAGATTTTTATTTAATTATTCTTTCTTAATTAGATTTTTATTTAATTATATAATATTTAGTTATTCTTATTTAAGATATTTAAGCAAGTTGCTTTAAGCCAAAATTAAAATGTAAACAACGACTTCCCTAAAAATTCAATTTGTATTACAATATATGGCAATAAAGAAAAGAAAAACTATTTTTAAACAATTAATATAAATATAATATTTTCAAATAATAATACTCCTAGACCTACTTTACGGTGACATGCACGAAAATTCTACTAAGGCGACATTGCAGTTTTTACCACAAATAAAATTTTTTTCGCACTATAACGACTTCACTCATCTTACAATTACCTCTTTGAGCATATTCTATTGAAAATAAAATAATCGCACTTCTCCACAGTGATATAAAAAAAAAAGTGTTATCTTAACGTTTTTTCTTTTGTTGATTTTACTCAGTTGCGTCACCTTAATGTAAAACACCATTGTGAAAA